CCTCATCACGTGCAACCCTATTTCTCTATCTCCATTTACCACTCACAAACAATCTTTATTACAACCTCAATTTCTTATTTTTTTTTTTCTTTTTTGATGTTTAGAGAGCCACAAAGGGCGATGGTGAGAATTGATCTCAGAATATTCTGATACTAGGAGGGATGCTCTAACAACTTAAAGTCTTGAGCTATTCATCACTCTCCTTTTCTTATTACTTGCAACAAATGAATTTTTTATGTATCACAATAATACTCATTTGTTGTAGAGGTGATCATTTGGCGAGCCGCGCCGAGGTCGAAAAAATCAGCCTACTCCTCGGGCCGGGTCGGGCCAATCTTCAGGCCGGAATTTTTGTGCCCAAACCCACCCAAAATAGCCGGGCCATGCAGGCTATTCGAGCCACTTTGGGCCGGGCAAAAAAAAAAACCTAAAAATGCATAAAATCGCATTCCCAAACCTGCTCGAAAAAATAAAACTTCGGGCCGGGCCGGACCCAACCCAATTTTGAGTCGAAAAAATCTGCCCAAAATCGGGTTGGGCCAGCAGGCCGAGCTATCTTTGATCAGATCTAATTTGTTGTAAATAATTAATAAGAAATGGAGGTAGTATTATTTAAGAGTGATTTATTCCTTTTATAAAGCCATGTCAGCAAACAATATATGGTAACTAAATTATGTTACATTAACAAATTTCAAATTTAAATTAAATAATGAATTTTTAGATGCATATTTATATGTCAAATTAAATTAAACCATAATAAAATCATATTAGAGTATCATGTTTCTTATTTTAAAACTCCCTTTCTAAGTCTCACTAGCTAATTTCTCTATTCTTTCAAATATGCTATGTTAAAAAAAAAATTAAAAAAAACCTAATTCTCATCTAAAAATAAAAACTGAAAAAAAAAGCTATGCAATTTTGTGTAAGAAAGATCTCAAATCATATTCTCTTACAACCCTGGCTATTATTTATGCATGTAAAGTCAAAAAGAAAATTATGTTAACTCATCATTCAAAAATTTCGAAATAGTTTCACATTAAACTTTAAAATATTAATCAAACAAAATACTGACACACTAATTTGAAATTTTATAGATTGAGTGATGTCAAGTCAAATTACTAAAAACATAATAACTAAAATAATCATATTTAATAAATACTCACATTAAACTTTAAAATATTAATCAAACAAAATACTGAAAAACATAATACCTAGAATAATCATATTTAATAAATGAATAAGCTATTAATTTTTTTTTAAAAAAATATAAAAATAGTTGTAAATGTCTCACAACACTATTTAGTACATTCCCACACTTTGTCTTTAAGGTAATTGCATAACCATTATGACAAAAGCTAATTAGACGTTATTCATTTCATTAAAATTATATTTAACCTATAAGCTTACACATTTACCTAATTAAATAAATAAATTAGTCATTTACCTAATTAAATAAATAAATAAGTTTTTGGTGTGGCTGGTGCACCCAGGCCACATTATAGATCCGCCCTTGAACATATAGCCTTGTTTGGTAAAGAGGTTTATTTATTTATTTATTTATTTTGTTTTTAATGGAGCTTTTGGCTTATTAAATCTATTAGAGGTTTGACCATTATCAAAATGCTAATTATAGTGTCTGGTAAAAAGCTTATGAAAAAAGCTTTTTTCGAAAATGCCCGAAATATGAGATTTTTAAAATCAGCTTATATACGTAACTGCTAACAATTAACAACTATTTACCAAACACTTTTACATAACCATTTATTTACAAGCAGCTAATCAAACCAGTTAATACAAACAACTAATCAAACTAGTTACGGAGTAAGACCCTATTCTTTAGAGCTGCTCTGCTCTGCTCTATCCTACTCTACTTAAAAATAATACTTCGTATTAATATTGAATTATTATTATAATTAATATTTAATAATAATAAATAATTAATTTAATCATTATAATAATTAATAATTAATAATAATAATATAATAATAATATTTTTAATAGTAATTATAATTGATTTTTTTTATAATGAAAATTAATATTTAAAGATAATAACTAATATTTAAAGATAATAATAATTATTAATCTTTAATAATAATAATAATAATAATAAATAATTAATCTTTATTAATAAAAAGAATAAATAATTAATATTTAATAATAATAAATAATATTTAATAATAAATAAATAATATTTAATAATAAATAAATAATATTTAACAATAATTATAATAATTATAGTTATTATTTAATGATTATAATAATAATGCAATAATAATAATAATTATAATTTCGTCAAAGTTATAGGGTTACCCAGTTAGTGTTATAGGGGTTAATCAGTGAGTATTATAGGGGTTACTTGGTCAGTGTTATAAAGATTATTTTATTTTTTAATAAGCGGTCACGCGGTGTGGCTAGCCACACATACAAGACGAGCTGATTATCAAATAGATTCATAAACTAGTTAAATAAATTGAAATCAAGATAGTATTTTATAAAATCATCTCTCTTCCTCTCTTATCACTCCAACCAAACAAAACACAAAAATAAACAAAATTCCCATAATCAATCCCCATTATCAAACAAAAACAGAAACCCAAACTCCAAAAGGGTAACAAACTTCTCATCCACTCAAAAACACAATAATGTCTCTCACCATAAACAACCCCATTAACTGTGCCACACCTCGCTTACCAATCCACCACCACCATCAACGCCAATTCCTCCCTTCATCACTTTCTCTCTCTTCAAGAACATCAACCTTAACAGTAGTAGCTGCCACTGGCAAGTTCACCTCCCGAACAGGGAAATTCGACAGCAAGAACAGAAGGGGTTCTTCTACTACAACCAAGGATGATGCTGCCGCCTCCGAAGAAAAGAACGGTCTAAGAAATTTTGAGGAGAATGTTGATTTGATTGGTGATAGTGTTGATGATGACGAGGATGATTTGTTGCCTGAGCTTCCTGGTGATAAACCTGATTTTTGGGAGGGGCCTCAATGGGATGGTCTTGGTTTCTTTGTTCAGTATATGTGGGCTTTTGGTATTCTTTTCGCGGTAATTGACTAATCTTTTAATCATCTAAATTATTCGTTTCTAAAAGTTCATCCTTTTTAATTATTTTAGTGGCCAAGTGTGGGTCTCTAATGTACTGAATATTTTAGGTTGTTTTTGAATTTGTTGTTTGTTTTTGTAGGATTGTAGTATCATATTGTTCTGAAGATTAAATTAACTAACATAGTTGACATCCACGCTTAAAAATGTTGTTTATGACTTTAGTTGACATCCTCGATTAAATTAACTAAGATAGTTGACATCCTCGATTAAATTAACTAAGATAGTTGACATCCACGATTACATTAACTAAGATAGTTGACATCCACGATTACATTAATATAATAGTTGACATCCACGATTAAATTAACTTAGTTGACATCCATGCTTAATAGCTTCAAGATTAGAGTAATCATTGTTGGTGTCCATGTGATGTAGGAAGGGGTGGTAATGATTTTTGTAATATAAGATAGAGTGGAAGTCAAAGTTTATGCTTGGTTTTGTTTTGATTAATAATTCCATAAACTCTTAGTTGATAGAAATGAGTTTTTTGTCACAAACACACGAAATCTGTAACAATTTTGTTGCTACTCTCTTTATACTAATATTGTTTGCGGGTTTAGTTGAAGCGTATTTCGAAAATTGAGGTTAGGATGTTCAAGTATTTCTTTTGTGTTTGGTTGAGGAAAATTTTGACTGGGTTTTACAAGTTATCGACGTCCATATGAAAGTTTAGAGTAGCACACTAGGTTTGTGAAATCATGTCAAAAGATGTTTAAAAGGGTGATTAACACGATGAGTCTACTAGAGCTGATGGTGACTTGGTTTTTTCACTTATTAAGATGCAGCTTGTTCACAACGGTAGCTGGACCTTTTGCAATCTACTTGACAAAACCATTTGTACCCTTACACTAAAGAAAATGTTTTGAAGCCTCTTGAGTCGAATCTTAAGTGCCCATTGGCCTTTTGTTTCTTAAGGGTTGAAGTTCACGCTTTGTATGAACTTATCATTAGTGTACACTGTACAGACTGCACACTGACAGACACAAGCTCTGGTTACGTTTTGCTTAAGGCAGCTTTAAATTCAAACTTATAATGAGTTGATTGTCGCATCAATGTGATCTTACGGTCTTACCTATGGAGCATAGTTGTTGATTGCCTTGTGTGGGTGTGGGGGGATGTTGGTTTGTTTTTTAATATGTGTCCTTTAAATTTATTCTTTCCATGGTAAATTTAAGATTGAACTCATTGAAGCAATAAATTGAAGACGCTAGTTATAGTTTTATAGCTGAGAATGCACAGAAAATATTTCAGCTGATTGATGGTAAAGGAACAGATGATCAATTCCTAAAAGTTATCATTGTATTTCTTACTGTATTAGATTCTGAGACTTGAGATTAAGCACTATGCAGATATTTCTGTTGTCTATGCATGCTTGAATTCAAATCTGTCAACTTCGAATCACAGCACCAAATCTGTTTGATATTTCAGAACTGACTTCATGTTTGATTTGGTCCTCACAGCTGATTTCAAGTGGCATTGCTGTGGCTACCTATAATGAAGGGGCTACCGATTTTAGAGAAACTCCTGCATACAAGGAATCTATCCAATCAAAGGATCTCTTAGAAGGACCTGAGGGATCTGACGCAGACGTGTTTGAGTCTAACCCCACAGAGGAGGCTCCTGCTTTGGATTAGCAGCAAGGTATCGGAACAAAGCACTCTATACAGCAGGGCTATGAAGTTATGAAGCCCTATGAAAACATTTTATAAGTCTGGTTCACATTAACTATCTTAGCATTAAATTTGTCTTGTATTTTCGTTGTTCTGCCACTATATATATATAGACTAAGGTTACCCGTGTAAGAAATTGTGTAAGCAATAGAAGTGACAAGTTTAGAATGAAATTTTTTCTGCTATTTTCTTTCTCAAAGCTATCAAAGATTACTTGCAAATTGCAACATAGGGTTTCAGAGTAAATTATCTCCCTATTTTACCGGTATATATAATGTTTGAGAAAGATGTACTGGAATTAAAGAACATAAAATATCTAGTATTATGTGCCTGTGCAGCACTGCAGCTGCACATAATTTTTTATGCTGCAGCTCTTGATTGCTTTATGGCTCAAGCAAGTGCATACAATGTACAAGAGATTGTGACCATACAAGCACCAACTCCATCACTGCTGATTATAATAGTTAAGTGTCACTAATCAGGCTCTAATTTATCTTCCCTTTGCTGTTTTTCGGGTTGGACTTAATTACTGATTTCTCTATTTCGTTTGGACCTTTTATAGGGTTTATTTGTTGTTTTTTCTATTATATCATGAGATAATTATGTATTATTGAAACTAAAAGGTAAATTCCTGTTTTTCTGCTATATTTTGTCTCAGATTTATTGAAGATATCTGCTTTCAGACTAGATGAAATAGAAGGGATTGCTAATTAAAAAAAAAAAAAAAAAAAAAAAAAAAGGGATGGTTATCCTGCAAGCACAATTGCTTTTGAATTTTCTTTGACAGTGGCTGTGCTTGCTGCTGCAAGTCACTGCGGTTTGGTAAATTATTAATCGGAAACTCTTTTGAAGTTTTTTACGAAGTACTTTTTATTACTCAGTAATCTTCATTTTAGCTCTTAGTGGCATTAAATCAGTATTTAGATTTTAGTTTCTATTCTTCTGGTATAATTTTATTTTCCATTTGTAACATCTAAACTACTTTGAAAAGGTAAATCCCTGTAATGTAAATAAAGGATTACTGAAATAGGATAAAACCATACAACGGACAAAGAAATACTGTCTTGCTAAAATATCCCTAGCTGTAAATAAACTACTAGTCAGTATATCATCGGTTACTTCATTGACCTGCAGTCGTAATTAAAATAAACCTACAATTCTTCTGTGACTAATCTCATCAGAGTAACTTTTCTAACGATAGAAAGATCACTGCTACTGCAATTCCCCATTGACAGCTGGCCAACTTGTAAGCTGAGCTACTCTTCAACCCAAATCTGACAGTGCTTGGCCTTGGTGCAATAGTAATGGTTGGAGCTCCTAAACAAACAGAAAATTCGATGTAAATAAAAAATAACCACTAAGTGCAAAAACATGTCATAGAACGAACTGATTGCTAAGTGCCTAAGTTGTTACAAAATCAGATTCCTTGCAGCAGAGTGAAGTTCAGAATTTTACCTGCGGCATCAGCAGTTGGATTCCTTGTGAGTGTAGCTGGAGAATTTGGTGATGTTGGAGCTGCTGATATTGCAGGAGATGGAGATCCTCCTTTCATCCAAGAAAAACAATTAAGCCGGTTCCAACATAATTAACTACTTTGATAAAATATGTGAACTTTAGAAATAATAAATGTGTAAAATTTAGAAATTGTTGCGAGTTCTGACATTAATGTCTACAATGATAAGGAAGCACATTGACAATACCTGAAGCTGAGCAAGTGGAAGGGTCAATCTGTGGATTGCAGAGGCCAGGCAACTGAAGAGCAAGGGTGTTGTTGATAGGGAGAGAGGCCAAGGCAGTGCCATTGAGAAAGAGGCAGAGGCAACCTCGCTCCAGGTTGTACACTTGCAGGAGGTTATTACAGCACTGAACACTTGGCCCTGGAGACTGCCCCTGCACAAATGGGGCACACGGAGCCAGTACAAGAAGGCGTGGTCCACATTCTGCCATGGTGGGGGTTGAAGGACTAGGCGGAGTTAATTGTGATTGGCTTAATGTAAGGAAGGAGATGAGGAAGAGCAATGTAGCAGTAGTGCTTCGAGTGAGGCTATTTCTGGAAAATATAGCCATTCTTCTGCCTCTTTTGTTCCTTTTTCTCTTTGTTTGTGCTTCTAGGTTTAGATTAAGATGGACGTCGTACTCATGGTGCTACGATTTGGCTTAATATATAGAGGAGGTAAGAAGTAAATGCATGAGTAGTGTGAGTAGTAACATGCCTGTTGTGTGTTACACCCACATGCATTTCTTATTTTTTTCCCTGCAACAAACCTTGAAAATACTATCTGTGATATTAAGCTTCTGACCTCTCCAAAAAACAAAAAAAATGGCATGAACTAATCTTATGAATGATGAACCAACTGACCATTGGTGTTAGTATTTTGACCAAGGATTCATCCAATCAACATACAAATTCCGAAACACTTCCTCTATTTCTTCTATTGGAATTATTTTGAAATTATTTAAACATATGTTAAAAAAAAAAAAAAAAAAAAGTGAGAGCTTTTTGGCATTTAAACTTGTTTAAAAACAAACAACCAAAAAAAAACAAAAAACTGTGAGGATTAAGGTCAACTTAGAGTCCTCCTCTGCTTCATTAAATATTTCAGTAATGCATTTCGTGCTTAATTTTGCACCTGACCATTTATCTCTATTTCTGTTTACTAAAGATACAATAAAATGTAATGTTATCTGTTTCTAAAAAAAAAAAATAAAAAAAAAATGTAATGTTATCTTAAGTGGTGTTCTTGCTTTTCGAAGTCTTAACTTTAATAATAATGAGCTCTTTCCCAAATTAAGGTCAAGAAGAACCGCAATTCCCAAATTGCAGCCAAAGTTTTAAGAATTCCCATTCTACCGTCCACGTCACCGGTTCAGGGGGAAGAAATTTTAAATCCGGTCTACAGCAAAACCGCTACCTGAAGTAGCGGTTTTTACTAATAAACCGCTACTTCAGGTAGCGGTTTCTTTTTAATAAACCGCTACTTCAAGTAGCGGTTTTTGTTTAATAAACCGCTACTTCAAGTAGCGGTTTTCTAGCAGGTATAATTTCCCGATTTCACTTTCCTCTTTCATTTTCGTCTTCTCACCAAAATCCCATCCACGCCTTCCACCAAAATCACACCTCCTTCAACGGAAGCCGGCGCAGCCAAGGAATCCACCGACGCCGCCGGAGCATTCCTCAGCAACGAAGGCCGCCGCTGTTGACGCCGAGGGTTCGACTTTAGTGGTCGGCTTCACTAATTTCAGAAGAAACGTGCTGATCTTCTTGTTTGTGGTAAGTGCCCTAATTATTTTTTGTATTCAGTTATTGGGTTTGTTGTTGTTATTGAGTTTGTTGTTGTTATTGAGTTTCAGAATTGTATGTATGTGTTGTTGTTGTTGGTTTTGGTTGTGTTGTTGTTGTTAGTGTTCTTGTTTATTGTTGTTGTTATTGAGTTTCGGTTTTGGTTGTGTTGTTGTTGTTAGTGTTCTTGTTTATTGTTGTTGTTATTGAGTTTCGGTTTTGGTTGTGTTGTTGTTGTTAGTGTTCTTGTTTATTGTTGTTGTTATTGAGTTTCGGTTTTGGTTGTGTTGTTGTTGTTAGTGTTCTTGTTTATTGTTGTTGTTATTGAGTTTCGGTTTCGGTTTTGGTTGTGTTGTTGTTGTTAGTGTTCTTGTTTATTGTTGTTGTTATTGAGTTTCAGAATTGTATGTATGTTTGTGGTTGGTTTTGGTTGTTGTTGTTGATTTACTTACCTTACATATAACCCTTGTAGAATTATTAATGGTTTCGATCACATTACTCAGTTTAGGTTGCTATAATTGCTGATTTTGAAAGTGAAAATAGAGCTTCTATACACAAAGTACATGAGCTCAAAGTACATGTAGTCATGACTTATGCCCATGTTGAGCTTCAAGAGGTATTAAGACCTTCATAGCTCAGTTTAGGTTGCTATAATTGTGTAGTTTGCTTGCTTGATGTTAGGACATTGCCACACTGTTAATGAATTTTTGCAATCTAATATCTTTGATTAATAATGGTCTTTTCTAGAATGAAATATGGAGGTTCCGAACTACCCTCTATATTGCTATTGGGGTGGAGAAATTTTTGCAATTTCGACTTCCTTAGATCTTCATAAACTTGTTATTTATGGTGGTTGTGTTGAAAATATGCTATATATCTCATGTTTTACAGGTACACAACTTGCAGGTTTTTTTTTTGAGTGATTATGCAAGTTTGAAAAAAAAACCAGTCCAGGGTAAACCGCTACTTCAAGTAGCGGTTTTTCAAATTAAACCGCTACTTGAAGTAGCGGTTTTCCAAAATAAACCGCTACATTAAATAGCGGTTTTTTGTAAACAAACCGCTACTTCAAGTAGCGGTTTTAAACTAAGAAACCGCTACTTGAAGTGGCGGTTTATTGCAAAGAAACCGCTACTTCAAGTAGCGGTTTACCCTGGACCGGAAAAAAAAAAAAACCGGTTTTTTAACCAGTGCTTACGTGGACGGTAGAATGGGAATTCTTAAAACTTTGGCTGCAATTTGGGAATTGCGGTTCTTCTTGACCTTAATTTGGGAAAGAGCTCCACAGTAATACAGGGTAATATTCTTCGTTTTACACAATTGCACGGGCATTACATTAATGAGCTCTTTCCCAAATTAAGGTCAAGAAGAACCGCAATTCCCAAATTGCAGCCAAAGTTTTAAGAATTCCCATTCTACCGTCCACGTAAGCACTGGTTAAAAAACCGGTTTTTTTTTTTTTCCGGTCCAGGGTAAACCGCTACTTGAAGTAGCGGTTTCTTTGCAATAAACCGCCACTTCAAGTAGCGGTTTCTTAGTTTAAAACCGCTACTTGAAGTAGCGGTTTGTTTACAAAAAACCGCTATTTAATGTAGCGGTTTATTTTGGAAAACCGCTACTTCAAGTAGCGGTTTACTTTGAAAAACCGCTACTTGAAGTAGCGGTTTACCCTGGACTGGTTTTTTTTTTCAAACTTGCATAATCACTCAAAAAAAAAACCTGCAAGTTGTGTACCTGTAAAACATGAGATATATAGCATATTTTCAACACAACCACCATAAATAACAAGTTTATGAAGATCTAAGGAAGTCGAAATTGCAAAGTCGAATATTTTTCAATTGATTAAATATAACAAAATCCAATTCTAAGCATTTACAAAAAAATTAGTTTAGTTCCAAAATATACACTTAGCTCGGGCGTTGCTTCTTCCCATGAGGTGACGATGAAGATGATGCAGCTGTCTCCTCTGGAATGTCATCCAGGCCAACTCCAACCCCAGACGTAGTGTTGCTACGCCGTCGGTTTCTCTGATACTGGCGATGCACTAGTGGAGGAGATGTCATGATAGTATGCTGAGAAGGAGTCGGTGGACGGAAGGCACGTGCTGAATGGCCTCCACGATGAGGTGGTGGTCTGATCGGCATAGTGTGCACAGTAGAAGATGAAGACGTGGACGGTCGAGGCTGCTGAATAAGGTGTGACTGCCCCACCCTAGACAAGGTTTGGCCACAAAATGATGTAAAACCCTGCATCGTCTGTATGGCAAATGGTATAGCCGTCTCTGGTGGCAAGTGGGAGATGGTCTCAGTAGCTCCCGATAGCTGGACGTGCAAATCAGCAAATGCATGTGCCTACATTTAAGTGTAGTTTTAATGTTAGTAAAATGAAATCAAAAACGTAAGAACTAGATTGAAATGAAGTGAAGTTCATACAAGCAGGAGGTCCGAGGTAGCTGGCTGGTAATGACTCGGGGGGCGCTCCTGCGAAGGTGGAGTAATGACCAGTCTCGTGATGCGACGGTACCAAGCCATGTACTCTGTCATGGCCGGGGAAGAAGTCCCAGTGAACGGGTATCCCTGGACGACTAATGCCTCTCGTCGACTCCACTCGTGTACATGGTCCGAATGCCGAATCTCCCAATTACGCTGTCCCCTTCGATCCTTCCTGTGTAGAGCAACGTCCGTGTCTACATCCTGTGGGATCGGCTGGTCTAACCCGAACTGACGAAGGACTCGGTCTGGGAGGTGGAACTCAACGACGTCAAAGCATATCAGAGGTGCCCGTGAACGCCAAATGTGCATGTCTGAGCGACAAATCTCCGGAAGTCGATCCATCACCGCCTCAGTATATGGCTGCCAAATCATCTAATTCCCAAAACAAGTATGTCAACATGTATATGACTAACATAATGGAAGAAATACAATGTACAAAAAAAAAGAAACACCGATTGTACCTGGTCCTCGCGCTGATGGTCAAACGCATCTCTGTAGTATGGTAGTCCAGAAGCAGTATGCGCACACGATAGATGGACACGTAACCACCTGTAAAGACATGTTAATAATAATTCTTGAAAGATAGAATTGTAAGAACATGAACTTGAAGCAAACATTGTACCTGCACGCCAAAGGGTCAACACCTCGCTGATGCTGAGTCCCCAAAATGTCATCCTCATCCTCAGCCTCAGGGTCCTCCTGTGGCGGATCTCGAGGCCTCCTAATGTATGGTAGGCCAATAGTAATATGCTCCCACGACCACAACTGTAGTAGGATGAGCGGGCCTCCAATCTGTCTTGAATCTCGCTGACATCCTCGACATAGCTGCCGATACAAAAAACCAAGAGTCGCACTCCCCCAGCTGTAGGTCGAAGCTGTCCCCCAGTCTCGAAGGAACGGCAAGTAGTAGAGTGACACAGCATCACCACTCTTGTCGGCGAACAGAATAGATCCCATGAGAGTGAGAATGTAAGCACGGCTATGGCGCTGAACTGTCAAGTCATCAGCTCCCTCTGGCATCTGTGAGAAGTGACGTCTGAGCCACGTCAACTTCAAAGTAGATCCCTCCAGAAACGGCTTACCGTTATCATCATGGCCAGGTCGAACTCCCAGCAACTCCTCAACTAGGTCATGCCATCCCTCAAATGGAGGTCCAATGACAGGAGGGCCGTGCACTCTCAGACCTAACAGGACGGAGACATCCTGTAAAGTAATGGTGGCCTCACCTAGCACTAGGTGGAAAGTATGTGTCTCCTGCCTCCACCTCTCAACCAACGCCGTAAGAAGAGATCGATCAAGCAAAAACCCTCCTCCCAAAATCCTATGTACACCGTAAAACCCAGCAAGCCTAACGTACTCTAGTACTCTGCCATCTACCCTCCACTCACGTCCCACGCTGACCATATGCTCCCTAACTGAGAGAACTCTATCAGCTACGCCACTCCAAACATCGTGGCTCCTATGGGAAGTCTGCAAGCGTAGAACAGATGGATCAACTGGGCCTGGACGAATCACCGGCTCCATGGGACCTACACGATAACAAAAAATTGAATTAATGTTAAGCGTTCGAGAAAAAACATAAATATTAAACAAGAATATATAATTAATCATGTTACCCAGATGATCCGTTGAAGGAGGTGTGATTTTGGTGGAAGGCGTGGATGGGATTTTGGTGAGAAGACGAAAATGAAAGAGGAAAGTGAAATCGGGAAATTATACCTGCTAGAAAACCGCTACTTGAAGTAGCGGTTTATTAAACAAAAACCGCTACTTGAAGTAGCGGTTTATTAAAAAGAAACCGCTACCTGAAGTAGCGGTTTATTAGTAAAAACCGCTACTTCAGGTAGCGGTTTTGCTGTAGACCGGATTTAAAATTTCTTCCCCCTGAACCGGTGACGTGGACGGTAGAATGGGAATTCTTAAAACTTTGGCTGCAATTTGGGAATTGCGGTTCCTTTTGACCTTAATTTGGGAAAGAGCTCTACATTAATTTATAAATTAAATCCAATATTGGCAATATCAGTAACGAAATATGATACTCGGGTAGAAATTGGTAAGATTAATTTTATCTTCGAACTACCTCTATTTTAAGAGTCCAAGAGCCTTTTCTTATTCCATAATGCCATGTACTCATGTGCCATGACTTCCATATTTGCTCTACTTCATTCATGTAATTCGTCCTTCTAAACAAACTTTTTTAATATACTAAAAAAAAAAAAATTGTCCCTAAGAATTTTAGTTCTATTGATCGATATCAACTAGTCTAGTCAGTTAGCTTAGTTGGTAAAGTCTTGGGGTTGGTACTTCATCTAGACATCTACCATTGTGAGACGTAGAAAGAATCATTGTAGATGTATCGATGGTATAGGAACAAGGCTGGAAAATGCTGCTTAAAGCAAATAATTCTGCCTGCCTGCCTCTAGCATATGTAAATGCCATTGCAAACCTACCTATAATTCAAAGGGAATTAGATTCCTATATTTTTACATAAAAGTATGACTTTAATAGAGAACAATTCAACTAAACTTGTTAATAACCCTACGTGTTTATGCTTGTCATTAAATAATTAATGATATTATTAATTACTACACATCTCATCCTCTTATTAGCTCTTCTTCTTTTTAGCTTTACATAATACAAAGTTTTCTCACTAAAATCTTAGGCTATTATTATCTCCTTGCCTCTGGCTTCATCAAGGAAATGGTAATTTCTCTTTAATAAATTTTCTAAGTAAAATTATTTAGGTAGTTATTTGTATATTTGCAAGTCATATTTTGATATATATTATTATTTGAGCAGTATTTTTGCATGATTTTGAGGATCAAAATTGATTGCAACGGTTGCTATAGAAAGGTGAAGCAAGCACTTCTTCAGATTCGTGGTAAGCAATGTTTTTTTTTTTTCCTTGGCTTATTAATAGGCTTTGTTTTATTACTATTATTATACTACGTATATGATTGTTCATTAGTTCACTAATACATGTAAAAAAAAAAAGAAAAAAAAAACAGATAGTCAAATATAAACCTATAAATTTAGAATGGGTGTTCTAATTTGATTTAATTGATGATTTTGTTTCTTTTATTAACATTAGGATTTTTTTATTTTGATAAATTTCACTACAATTCTAAAGGAAAATTTGTTAAAAAAAACTTTTTAAATGCACCATTTTGCGAAAAAATAATTTTAAAAAGCTTTTTTGGTTAAAAAAAAATGTTGAAGAATAAACCTCTCAAGTGTCACCACATGTAAGTGTCCCACATTGGTTGAAGAAGAGAGAGTTAAACACTTTATAAGGCTAAGGGGCTACTCCTCCTATTGCCATATGGTTTTGGGATGGAACCTCCTTGGACTTATGAAGTGGACTCTCTCTCTTAGTTTGCGGGTGCGGCCCAGACCCGCGTTTGACATGGTATCAGAGCCAGACCCACGATATGGGACCTTAAATGGCTAAAGTTCACTGGGCCAAGAGTAGGTCCGTGTGAGGGGGAGTGAAGAAGCACTCTAGCCCGAAAAATCACATGAGACAAAGTTAAAAGGGACCTTACATGTGAGGGGGAGTGTTGAAGAATAAACCTCTCAAGTGTCACCACATGTAAGTGTCCCACATTGGTTGAAGAAGAGAGAGTTAAACACTTTATAAGGCTAAGGGGCTACTCCTCCTATTGCCATATGGTTTTGGGATGGAACCTCCTTGGACTTGTGAAGTGGACTCTCTCTCTTAGTTTGCGGGTGCGGCCCAGACCCGCATTTGACAAAAAAAACTATCATTTTTTTTTTTTTTTTTTTTTTGCGAATGGAAACCCATTTCCTTAATTATCCTCTAATCAACTTTCAGACTTTAATTTCCTCCAATTTCTTCAAATTTACCTCTAACCCACCCAATTAATTTATAATTAGATTTAATATATATATATATATATATAAAAAAACCACCACCCAACCACCCCTTCCCCTTCTTCCTCCCTTTCCCCCACCCTTGGAAGCAACTCCCTCACCACCGAACCCGCCGCCCAGATTCCCCCACATCCAGTGACCTACCTTCATCGCCAGTTGACCCTCCGTTTCCCCCTTATCCCCGTTGACGATCACTACCTCTCTTTGAATTTTTGGCTCTTGTTTAGTAAAACATGCTCAAATCTAGTCTAAATCAATTGCAATTTGCTTCTAAATCACCCTATCATCACATACATACATAATCAAAGCCAAAACAATCATCAATTGCAAAGCAAGATGTACAAAAGTAGAAACCCAGGCCACAAATCAATTTTCTAGATTTTTCAAAATCAAGGAGGTAGTTGTCGGTCGGTGATTAGGGGGAAAAGAAGGATTGTCTGGCGGTGGAAGAGGTCGCCGGAGGTTGGGGGATCTGGATTGGGGGTCCGGTTGGGGAGGGGGTTGATTCTATGGGAAGAGGAAGGAGGAGGAAGGGGAGGGGGAGGGGGAAAGGGAGGGGAAGGGGTGGTGTTTTTTTTATATATATTAATGAAATCTAATTATTTAGTAATTTGGTGGGTAAAAGGTTAATTATTAGAAGAAATAAGAATAAACTAGTTATTGGCTTGGTACATTATAAATTTATAAGTTTGATTAAAATTAATTAAAAAGTGATATTGTTCATTAATAAGTGGGAATGATAATATATACAAGTAACTCATATTATCTTTCATTAATATACATATATAATATACGTCAAATTTAAATATGGATGTTATATGTATGAATAGTCTTTTAAATAAATTATTGTTGAGAGTTAAAGTCACCCCAATGAATAACTTTTTAAAGTGACTTAACATTAGTATAATTTAATGTGGTGAGAAAAGGATGATGACACATAGGATGATATGTGACATCAAATCATAAGTAAGGTTGACATATGGCGTTAGTGCGTTACCATCCACTTATTTTTTTAATTTAGTTGAGGCATCATATAATGTTATTGTTGGTTGCATGAGTGATGTGGCGCATTGGAGAATTGAGTATATGACGTGGCGCAATGAGGAGTCTACGTGGCACATAGACGTTTTTAGGAACGCCTTTTATTATATTAGTATAGATATGGTGGCTTTCTTAAACCAAAAGGCTTTTAGAAGATTTTTTTAGCAATATGATGCTTTTGAAAGTTTTTTTTATTTTTTTTATTTTTTACAAATTTCCCAAGTCTAGAACATGGTTATTGTAGTAGTTTTTGTATTATGCATTTATGCCATATTGTTTTTTTTTTTTAATTTTTTTTTTCTGTTGCTTTTGAAGAATTAGAGTCTCATATAATAGAGAACAAAAGTAGTAGGGTGATTGTGTTTGGAAGATTTATCCCTCAAGATATCGCAATCAAGATCAGAAAGAAAACAAATCGAAGGGTGGAGATTTTAGAGGTACAACAACTTTGTCCTACTAACACCCAGGTCTGAAAATTATCAAGATCAAGGTTCTTTGATGATAGCTCCCACTAATGCAATCAATTTGTTATGGCTCCTCAACCTCAATACTAGTAAATTTCGAGGTTGCTTGGGTTGAAGATAATGATATCTATTATGTATAAATTTATTGATTTATATAGAAATTCATCAACTTGTAGCATTTAAGAAATAAGTAAATTTGAGTGATCCTATTTTTTGTATTAGCCAATGAAATAATAAATCTACTTATTTATGAGAGTAACCTCATATCCCCATTGAAATAGTTTCACATATACAAATGGAATAATATTGTGAATTGTTAAAGGACAAACTCAACCAGCCAAAAGCTTAAGGGAGGCATAAAAATATGTTTTATACTTTACCATGAATAATTTATATAATATGGTTGTTATATAATTTTGAACAAATGATAATAAAGTCTTACAAACATCAATACCTATATACTAAAGTAATCCCCAACATTGTTTCAAAGAAAAAAAACGTAATCCCCAACATTATCCCCTATTACACGTGTCACCCTCTGAGTAAAAATTTTTCCCCCAAACTTTTTATTTTATTTTTTTATTCTTTTAAAAAAGTTTGTTACAAGAGACAAATTCAAAAAAGAAAATTTTTCTACAATATATCTTATATTATTTTTTGTTATCTTCTAATATCTCTTTGTTAATTTCCTAGCTTTGAGCCGTTGGTGTTTCAAGAACATTGTTTGCAATAAACTTCTTAATAATGAGTCTTTTTTTTTTTTTTGGCAACATGTGTATATTTATTGAGATACATCTTATGATATATCACATACATGAATATGTTTGTTTTTTTAAAGTTTTTTTTTTCACTTTCAATGATCATGTTTTGTATGTAACATTTTTAACAAACGAATAACATAATACTACTGTAAAAACCGTGCAGGGTACGGGGTTCGAACTAGTATTTCTACCAAAGATTTAAACAAATACCCCAGTCATTTTATAGTAAATATAAAGATTTATTTATTTATTAATTAATTATCACATTTTGTTTACTTTTAATTAGACCTGACCATCGTGTCGTGTTGTATTAAATGACATAGTATTATCCTAATTCAATATGTTTATCAATAATTCCATAAATTATTTTCTTTTTTCTTAGACGGGTTGAATTGTATTAATCTTGTTTTGGAAATCTTAACACTAACTCGACTTAGTTTGTTTACTTAAACGTCGTCTCGTGTCGTGTTGACTCATTTGAATAACCATATTTAAATTACCCTTTACTAATTCAATTTTTCAGTATTTGGTTTGTGTCATGTTATCATTTCGTGTCAGCTTTTACCAACTCTACCTTATATTAATAAAGTTCAAGTTTATCTCTTGTTTATCGTGGGCAAATGTTTATATGTTTAGGTAGATTAAGAGGTACGTACACTAAGACCATTAGTGTTACTACCCTAAACCGTCAAGATTTTACTCATTTTCCCTCAAATTGCTATTTTGACAATAATAAGTACATTATAATTCTTTTTTAATTTTTTTTTTGCTTTTTACCACTTATATTTGCCAAACATTTTGAACTTACCATAACTTATTGGTTGTCGTCTAAACTTCAAATTTTCATCCTAATGGGATCAGGTTTTTTTTTTTCCCTCTTATTTGATTAAATTGATGATAATATTTTTATTAAGATCATTTTATGATATATTAACATTATTTTTTCTAATTGATTGTAGTCTTATATGATACAATTTTAGATTTATTGTGATATCTTGTGTTTTATACATTTATGCAAACTTTTTTTTTTCCTTTGAAGAACTAGAGTCTCATATATGAAAATTCTACTATGGTCTACTTCATTATGACAATGACTGTGCTTAATTATCATTGATTGATTTTTAATTTATTTTTAAACCTTGGTCAAACCTTATTTTTAATTTTTTTTCATTTTTAATTCTTTTTCAATTTTCCAAAAATTAATTACTGACTATTCAATTTTTTTTAAAATTAATTTAATAAAATAGTTTTTAATTAAATAAAAAAAATAAGATTATATTTTAAAAAATCAAAATAAAAAATTGCTCATCAATGTTCTTCAAGTTTGTTCAACCATTGATGAGATTACACACCAACATATGATCTATGTCCATTAAATTCACTCGCGCATCGAAAGAAATTAAAAATATGGCCCAATTTATAAAGCAAAGCAAAATTTTAAGAAATCCAAAATTTGGGGTCGTAGCGAATCTGAGCAGCGATTTAAATCCCTTAATAATAGGTTTTGATGATACAATATCAGTCAACAGTTGCAAAAATGACGATTTTATGTAATCGAAATAAGAATGTTTTAGTTTTTCGATCTGGGTTTGGCATGAAAATCTGAAAAAGAAACCATAACATTATTTCTTCGAAACCTTGTTTGATAAAAAAAAAACGAAAATCAAATTATAAATCTTGTTTGTGTAAAAGGTTTTACTCAAATAAGGATAGGATGTTACCTGTTAGGAAAATTTTAATTATCAAATACCTATGACCTTAGGTTTTTTTTGGACATCACCAATTACTGGTTTATAATTCATTAATATCTTGTTATCTTCTTAATGAGAGATGCTACACATAAACTTGATTTATGTGGGGTAGACATAAACTACCAATGAGAAGTTGACATGTCATTGCATGCTAGCCAAAAAAAAAGAGAGGGAAAATTAAGGGGAAAATTATTTGGGTTTAGGCGCCTAAATGCAAGGTTGGGCGGGAGAAAAAAGTTAGGCGCCAGGTGTCAAAGCGGGTATCCAGATGGAGTTTGGGTTAGCCCATGATGGGTCGGGGTGTTTAGATTGGGTACTGACCGGTCATTTTATCCTAACAAACCAAATCAAGTCAGATCAAGCTTAATTATATTCGAGTCAAAGGTGGGTCAAGGTATGATCAGGTACAAATCGAATTCGGGTCAAGTTGAATTCAGGTCGATTCATATCGAGTTCAATTAAGCTCGGATTCAGATTTAATTGGGTTTATTTGGATCAAAATGGATTTAATAAACTTTAAATCAGGTCATTTCGAATCCGGTTAGATCTCATTTTAAATCAATCATGTAATTTTAAACTCATTATAGAGCTATTTTCTACACAAGTATTTTATTATCTTTCAATCTTATCAACCCCATTTTTAATTGTTAGTAGAATTTCTCTCTTCTACTAACAATTAAACATAACCCCATTAACTACACTTTATATTCAAAATCCCACGGTCTCCACTATAATAAAAAAAAATCGTTAACTAATTAACTCATAAGTTTTGGGTCAGGTTAGTAGGGTTGCGGGTAGTTTTGAATTGGGTAAAAAAAAGGTCGGGTAAAATGATGTATTTTTCAGGTATAAAAGGTTTTGGGTAGATTTCGTTTCAGGTTAAATCGAATCCAGGTCTTGAATTGTCAGGTTTTATTGGTTTCAGATAAATAATGAGTCGCTACCAAGTTGGGTTTGGATCGTAAATTTCCGGGTAAAATCGATTTCAAGTTAACTGCGGATTGATTCTAGATCGGATTTGGATAAAAACTTTTCGGGTTCAACCAATTCGGTTTCAGGTAAACCTTTCGGGCCGGGTAAGTTTTTGACACCCCTAGGCGCCAATAAACTGTACTACATTAAATGCATACTAATTTCAATATTGTGTTGCTAAACAATTATATTATGATACTTATAAATAGAATTTGTTACTAGAAATAATAATGTCCTAGTTGGAGTAATTAATTATGAGACAATTTTTTTTAAAAAAATTGAATAATATAACATTTGGTAATGTAGGTTTCTTAAACTATAAATCAAAAAATTATTATAAAAACACCAATTAAATTCTTTTTTAATGCTCTTTCTAAAGACATCCATATCGATATATTTTCGAAAAGTTAAATAGTTGGACAATTTTAACCTTACTATAGTTTTGTATTCTACCTTTATTTTTTTCTCCTGATACTAGTAAACATCGTTTTGTTGTGAAAAATGGATATAAATTTAAACTAAAACAATGGAGGATAAAAATAAATTTTAGATTGTAACACCATACAAAAACCTGAAATTGGTTTTTAACAACCTCATAAAAAAATTTATTTTAACACCAGACAAAGTTCCAAAAAATGGATTTCCGTTAAGTGGGGCCATAAAGCCACGTGTCGCTTTATTATGCAAAAAAGAAAAATAAAATTTTTTTTTAAAAAATATTGGCCAACCCACCATTGCCCTCACCAAACCCACCACCAGCGACGCATCCGCACCCCCAACTCACCTGAACCCTTGACAGGCTCAAGTCGTATTCACCTAATAAAAAATAAAACCTAAATTCACTAACTATGTAGATAGGGAAGAAGGGTCGAACCACAAGGAAACAAGTCAATTTATTCCTAATTAATTAAAAGCAATCTAAATTATCAAGTAACCAAGTTGTTGTAAAAAGGTAATTAAACTACTAAAAGGTAAGAGTAGGAAGGGAATAAAATAGGAGGTAAATCAATGAAGGAAAAACCTAGGGCATAGGTTCACCAATAAACAATATTCCAGGGTAAATTAAATCATAATAAGCAATCATGAATGCATCAATTAATCAGATTATAAAGGGCTGTCTCTACGTATTACAATCACAGAGTTAATTTGCCGGTATTAAATCTCATCTGTCGAATCTCGACTTAACCATTTATAAATTAATCCGCGTATTGAAAATAAGCCTAAACATCAGTTCTCATCTCTCGAATCTCGAATCAATATTGCTAAACTCATACAATTAAATCTGGCCAAACCTAATTGCATAGCATTAAATCAATCAATAGGAAATTAATCAAGCATTGATAATCAACAATCACAAATTACCCCTTCATATTATTTATTAGATCCCTATAAACCCTAGAAATAAAACTACTCACACATAATTAAATCTAAACTAATCAAAACAATAAAAAAAGACATGATGAAAGAATTAAAGAAAATAACTGAAATTAAAAGAGAAGAAATTGTAACCAAAAGAAATCTGGATTAAGGAATGGAATTAAGAACAAAGTTGAGAGAATTTAAGAGAGAGAAAATATTCTAAGTAGAGAGAGAAAGTCTAAAAGAGAAGGTAAATCAAAATTACGTACAAAAATCGTACTTAAACATCCCTAAAACAACTCCTAATTGAAAACTAAAATCTCAGCTCCAAAAACACGCGTCCGATCAGGCGAAGGGCTGCCCGATCGGGCCTGCCTTTTTCTTCAAGGTCCTCCTGGGTAGCTGCGCCCGATCGAGCTAATGCTCACCCGATCGGGCACGCCTTCTTGCTGGTGCTCTATTCTGCGCGCCCGCCCGATCGGGCGCAAGCTTGCCCGATCGGGGCCGGTCTTCTCCTCGAGGCTTGGACTTCGATTGGGCTTCATTTTTCGGCCCAATCCGAATTTCCTCTTCGGGTCTTGAATACTTGGTCCAAATGCCCCAGTATCACACACCGATCCCTTAGTAACTGGCTTTAACCGGTCCTGGGCTTCAAAGAAAGGTCGTGTCCTCCTAATGTTCATAAATGCTTCATGAAAATCCCGGAAAACGCTCCAAATGTGCAATTTCCTACAAAACTCAA